CGCCTCCTGCGGTAGTATATGCATGCCGCGAGCCTGATGCGCGGCCGCCATGCTTGTCGGCATCGCCGCTAAGGCCAAAAAGAGGCAGGAGCTCTGCCTCGGCTCTCGCGCGCAGTCCTGCCGCCGGGTCATCGAGCCGCCGCCGGCGATCAGCCGGTCGCCCGAAGCCTGACGCGGAGTCGCCCCGCATCATCTGAACCCATGCGATGTCTGGTTCACCTCGCTCACGAAAGATGGGTTCGCCATCGTCGCCGCTCGTGCTGCTCCCGCGGAGGGAGCAGGAATCGGCGGCGAGCGGGGGGGGGGGGCGGGGAAACGAGGAGGAGGGCAGCAGGGGGAGGAGGAGGAGAGAGGAGGAGGAGGAGGAGGAGGAGGGAGGAGGAGGGAGGAGGAGGAGGAGGAGGAGGAGGAGGAGGAGGAGGAGGAGGAGGAGGAGGAGGAGGGAGGAGGAGGAGGAGGAGGAGAGAGGAGGAGGAGGAGGAGGAGGAGGAGGAGGAGGAGGAGGCGGAGGAGATAGGAGGAGGAGGGGAGGAGGAGGAGGAGGAGGAGGAGGGGGGAGGAGGGAGGAGGAGGAGGAGGAGGAGGAGGAGGAGGAGGAGGAGGAGGAGGAGGAGGAGGAGGAGGAGGAGGAGGAGGAGGGAGGAGGAGGAGAGAGGAGGGAGAGGAGGAGGAGGAGGAGGAGGAGGAGGAGGAGGAGGAGGGAGGAGGAGAGAAGGAGGAGGAGCGGAGGAGGAGGAGGAGGAGGAGGAGGAGGAGGAGGGAGGGGGGAGGGAGGGAGGAGAGAGGAGGAGGAGGAGGAGGAGGAGGAGGAGGAGGAGGAGGAGGAGGAGGAGGATGAGGAGGCGGAGGAGGAGGAGGAGGAGGAGGAGGAGGAGGAGGAGGAGGAGGAGGAGGAGGAGGAGGAGGAGGAGGAGGAGGAGAGGAGGAGAGAGGAGGAGGGCGGGGGGAGGAGGAGAGGAGGAGGGAGGAGCGAGGAGGAGGAGGAGGAGGAGGAGGAGGAGGAGGAGGAGGAGGAGGAGGAGGAGGAGGAGGGAGGAGGAGGAGGAGGAGGAGGAGGAGGAGGAGGAGGAGGATGGCGAGAGGGCGGGGCGGGGGGGAAGGCGGCAGGCAGGCGGCCCCAGTGACGAGCCGCGCGGCGAGAGAGGCCTTCGCCCTCCCGGCGCCGGCGCGCTCGCAGGGGGCCCGCGGGGGGGCCGCCCCCGGAGGGGGCGGAGAGGTCCCGAGGAGGCAGACCCAGACCCCCTCGAGTAATGAAAAAATCATGACGGGAGTTTTTTCCCAATTTTCGGCCTCCTGGGGCCCTCGCCGGGCCTCGGGAGCGTCAAAAAACGACTCAGGATGCAAAGCCGGTCATGGGGAGAGGGTCGTGACCTCTGGGGGTCGACGTAATGAAAAAATCATTACGTCGGGGGTCTGGGGAGGGGGCTTTTCGGATGCCGTCTGGGCTCGCGCAGTCGTTCGCAGCCGGCCGTTTTTCGGGATTGTCGGCCTCGGGGGCCCTCGCTGGGCCTCGGGGCCGTCGAAAGAGGGCCCTGGATGAGAAGCCGGCCCCAGGGGAAGGGCCCGGACCTTTGGGCGACGACATCGTGGCAGAATCACGCCGTCGGGGGTCTGGGCTTTCAAGGGGCCTGGGCGCGGGGTATACGTGAACCCTCGCAATCCTGAACTTTCGGTGCCCTCGCAATCTTCTTTCTTTGCGCCCTCTCAATTCTATGTTTTTCTCTCTGAGGGAAAAATGCCCTCGCCGGCCCCCTTCTAGGATGGGGCATCGCCGCCCGCGAGAGCGGACCACCGAGGCCCGCTCCGCGGGCCGAGGCGTCACTACTTGCAAGGTAGCAGCTCGCAGGAAAGCTGCTCGCAAGGCAGCCGCTCGCAAAGTGGCCACTCGCGAGGCAGCTGCTGGCAAGGTGGCCACTCGCAAGGCGGCTACTCGCGAGGCAGCTACGTGCGAGATAGCGACTCGCAAGACAGCTACTCGAGAGGTACCCACTCGCGAAGCAGCCGCTCGTCAGGTGACCAATCGCAGGGTGGCCGCTCGCAGGGCAGCCACTCGCAAGGTGGCTACTCGCCAGGCACCTTCTCGCAAGGTAGATACTCGCAAAGCAGCCACTCGCAAGGAAGCTACTCGCGAGGCGCCTGCTCGCATGGCAGCCAGTCGCAAGGTGGCTACTCGGAAAGGCGTTTTTTTTGTTTGCCAGGTGGCTACTCGCAAGGCGCCTGCTCGCAAGGTAGCTACTCGCAGGGCGGCCACTCGCAAGGTAGTTAGTTACTTGCACGGTGCCCACTCACAAGGCACTAGGCACTACTCGCAAAGGGGCCACGCGCAAAGTAGCTACTCGCAAGGCACCCACTCGCAAAGCGGCTACTCGCAAAGTGGCCATTCGCAAAATGGCTTTTCGCAAAGCATTTCCTCGCAAGTTGGCTACGCGCAAGGCAGCTCCTTGCAAAGTGAACACTCGCCAGGTGGCTATAGACTTGCAATGTAGCTACTCGCAAGGTAAGGCTACTCGCGAGGTGGCTTCTCGCGAGGGCGCCTACTCGCAAGGCGCCTACTCGCGAGGCAGCTACTCGCAATGCACCTATTCGCGCGGGAGCTACTCGCAAAGTGGCTACTCGCAAGGTAAGGCTACTCGCAAAGCACATGCTCGCACGGCTGCCACTCGCAAGGTGGCTACTCGCGAGGCAGCTACTCGCAAGGTGGCCATTCGCAAGGCTGCTAATCGCAAGGCGGCTACTCACAAGGTGGCTACTCGCAGGGTGGCCACTCGGAGGGCAAGGCAGTTTCTCGCAAGGTGGCAACTCGCAAAGTGGCCACTCGCAAGGTGGCTACTCGCAAGGCACATACTCGCAAGGTGGCCACTCGCAAGGCGGCTACTCGCAAAGCGGCCACTCGCAAGGCGGCCACTCGCAAGGCACAGACTCGCAACGCAGCTACTCGCAAAGTGGCTACTCGCAAGGTACCTACTCGCAAGGCAACTGCTCGCATCGTGGCTACTCGCAAGGTGGCTATTCGCAAGGTGCCCCTTCGCAAGGCAGCTACTCGCAAGGCTGCTACCCGCAAGGTAGCTACTCGCCAGGTGGCTACTCGCAAGGCAGCTGCTTGCAAGGTAGATACTCTTAAGGGTACCTACTCGCATGGCGGCCACTCGCAAGGCGCCGACTTAAAAGGCAGCTACTTGCAAGGCAGCTACTCGCAAGGTAGCCACTTGCAAGGCAGCTGCTCGCAAGATGGCTGCTCGCAACGCACCTACTCGCAAGGCAGCTACTCGAGAGGGGGCGACTCGCAAAACTGCCACTCGCAAGGCAGCTACTCGTACGGGTTCTACTCGCAGGGTGGCTACTCGCAAGGTGGCTACTCGCAACGAAGCTGCTCGCAGCGAAGCTACTCGCAAGGTGGCTACTCGCAAGGTAGCTACTCCGACGGTGGCTACTCGCAAGGTGACTACTCGCAAAGCACATGCTACACGGCTGCTAATCGCAAGGCAGCTACTCGCGAGGCAGTTGCTCGTAAGACCGCAACTCGCCAGGTACTACTTGCAAAGTATATACTCGCAAGTTAGCTGCTCGTAAAACGGCGACTCGCAAGGTACCTACTCGAAAGGCAGCTACTCGCGAGGCAGCTACTCGCAAGGACGCTACTCGCAAGGTGGCTACTCGCAACGCATCTACTCGCAAGGTGGCTACTCGCAAAGTGGCTACTCGCAGGGCACCTACTCGCAAGGCAACTACTTGCAAGGTAGCTGCTCGCAGGGTGGCTATTCGCAAAGTGGTTCCTCGCAACGCAGCTGCTCGCAAGGTACTTACTCGCAAAGTGGCTACTCGTACGGTGGCTACTCGAATGGTACCCACTCGCAAAGCAGCTATGTCCAGGCGCCTACTCGCAAGGCAGTTACTCGCAAGGTAATTGCTCGCAGGGTCTCGCAAGGTTCCTACTCGCAATCCAACTGCTAGGTGTCTCCGCGCAAGTCAGCTACTCGCAAGGCAGCTACTCACAACGCAGCTGCTCGCAAAATGGCTACGTGCAAGGCAGCTGCTCGCAAGGCAGCTGCTCGCAAGGTGGCTACTCGCAAAGCAGCTACTCACAAGGCATCTGCTCGCAAGGTGGCTACTGGCAAGGCTGCTACTCGCAGGGAAGCTAATCGCAAGGCAGCTTCTCGCAAATGGCCCGGATCCGTTGCGAGGGACTCACGATCCATGACATCGAAGCGAGCATGTGTGTGTTTTATGTCAGACGTTTGCGAGCAGGCAATTTGCGAGCAGTGGAACGCGCTCGACGATTTGGTTTTCTTCCACGCGAGCCTCACTTACTTGAATACCTAGTGTTGTGCGCTCCCCCATTGAGCATTCCGCTCCGTTCGAAGAAAAGGCTTTCCTTCCAAAAGGCCACCCCCTGAAATCTGGCGTTGCTAAAACATTGCGACATTGCCAAAGGAATAGGACTGGAGCCATGTTCGGGGGCGGCAAAGAGGGGGGTGTCCAAGACGGGGGGGTGCAAATCATGACCAGCGGCACGTGCGCGGCCCAGCGGGGGGGCCAGGGACGCAATGAAATAAGCAGAGGCGCCATGAAATCTGGGGAAATAGCATGGCCAACCGCCATGATATCCACCCCCCGCTAGTCATCACCCCCCTCCTTTCCCTCCCCGACACCACATCTGTTTCTGCGCCACCCTCCCAACCGGATCGGTGTGTCAGGGCCCCGGGGCCCGAAGCCCGACGAAGACGCCCGGCGTGAAAAAATTGCAGCGCCCACATCGGAGGGCCCGCCATCTCAGAAGGCCGCCCCCCCCACCCCCTGCGTGCGCCGCCAACCATGAACACGCGTTAGATCGCGCCTGTCCCCCTTGCAGGGGGATTTTTGATTCTTTTCTTCGCTTTCAGGATCAACCAAAAAACAGTCCAAACATGGTCAAGCATAGGAAAAAATCGTCCCCAGACTATCTCTTGACTATTTTGGACTGTTCCTCCTGTAGAGGGACAGGCCCGATTTCAAGTACGCGCCTCGCCGCCCAGGCCAGCTGTGCCAGACGTGCCCGTCGTGCTGGCCGTGCGGGAGGTGGTTGAAGCCGCCGTGCTGGCCGTACCGGTCGTGCTGGCCGTCGCCAGCGTGCTGGCCGTACCGCTCGTGCTGGCGGCGGTGGCCGTGCTGGTCGCCGTGGGCGTGCCTGCGGGGGCGCGCACAGCCGGGCGTGCTGAGGGCAGGCTTCGTTTGAGGAGTGGCGGCTTCCTTGCCTGTCTGTGGCTCTCTCCTGGGCCTCGCCGTCGCCATGGCCAGAGCCGTGTCTCAGAACTCTGCGCGGAGCGCGCGCCAGGGACGGGTCCGGGGGCCGCCTCTCGAGTGGCGCAACCGCTGACCTCCCCGCACGGTGAACACATCACGAACGGAAGCCCTCTGACAATCGTAGGCCTCCTCCTCCACCTCCTCCACCTCCTCCACCTCCTCGAACTCCTCGTCCTCCTCCTCGTCCTCGTCCTCGTCCTCGTCCTCCTCCTCCTCCTCTCCTCCTCCTCTCCTCCTCCTCCTCTCCTCCTCCTCCCCTCCTCCTCCTCCTCCTTCCCTCCTCCTCCTCCTCCACCTCTCCTCCACCTCCTCCTCCTCCTCCTCCACCCTCCTCACCTCCTCCACCTCCTCATTCCTCGTCCTCCTCCCCTCCTCGTCCTCGTCCCTCCTCCTCCTCCTCCTCCTCCTCCTTCCTCCTCCTCCTCCTCCCCTCCTCCTCCTCCTCCACCTTCACTTGAACTCCTCGTCCTCCTCCTCCACCTCCTCCACCTCCTCAACTCCTCGTCCCCCCTCCCTCCTCCTCTCCTCCCTCCTCCTCCTCCCGCTTCCTCCTTCTCCTCCTCCTCCTCCTCCTCCCTCCTCCCTCCTCCCTCCTTTTGCTCCTCCTTCTCCTCCTCCTCCTCCTCTGACAAACGTACGCGTCCACAGGCTCTCACTGGGCCCCAGGGTTGTCGAAAAACGACTCGGGATGAGCAGCGAACCTCGGGGTATTGGTACAGTCCCCCGGGGCGCATGTTACGACAAAGTCACGACGCCGGGGGTCTAGGACCCTCGGAGAGTTGACGGCGGGTCTCTCGCAGGCCTGCTCAAGATGGGGCCATAATAAACTGATGTGCCAAGGCCGTGTTGCATCGCCAGTGTATCGGCAATGCTGGTATGGAGACAGTCGGGCCCCAGATCGCGCCGCATCGCCGATGCATTGGGCATCGGCAGTGCGGCTTGATATGCAGACCGCGTTTGCTCTGGCCTCGTTCGGGAGGCCTGGAGTTATAGCTGATGTCGCAGTCGACGGGGATGTCGCGATACGATTGGAGGCAGCGATGGCCAAGCTCAACGAGTCTCCCAGGGTTGGACGCCCAACTTGTCCAGGATAGCTGCTGTCTGGGGTAACTCCGGTTTCGGCCCCCGAGATGCGAATACATCGGCGCTCCGGAAGAATAGAGAGGCACGGCGCCGCGCGAATGCAGCGCAAACGCAATGCTGGAAGGGCGCGACAATGCATGCCCCCTGGACACGCGAGAGCAGCCGCGCCCCCGCGCGAACCCCGATCCCGCGCGGGGCGCGTTCTCGTTGACAGTGGCTCACGCGGGACACAAATTCTTGCGCAGGAAGTCCTGGGCGGTCTGCCCATCGGCGACTCCTTAGGACGAGGCCCGGAACCACCGAGAAACCGTTTTTGATAGGAAGTTCTAGGCAGTTTACCCATGCTCGGTTTCTTCGGAGCAGGCCCGAAGACCTCGAGAACGATGTGGTTTGCACATGTTCGTGTCGTTCGAACTGGGCCCGACTTTGTTTGGGGCACAAGTCCTATGGGATTTGACCACTTTCAGGTCGGCCGATACAATTTTCGGGTCGGCGCATGACCGAACCCGAAAGCTTCTTTCCAGGAAGTTCGATGCCGTTTGCTCATTTTCGGGTCAGCGCACCGTTTGGGATTTAAAATTTTAAACTGGGAAGGGGAACCCGATCCCGCGACCCCGGGCGGGGGTTAGGCTCTGCCCTTGCATTGCACTGGGCCCCTCCGGCCAAACGGGGCGCTGGGCTGCCCATCGGCGCGCCGACTCTGCCCTCGCGACATCGCCACCATCCGCCCTCGGGCTCCGCGAGTCTTCTCCCGCGCGCGCCACCCCAGAGTGCCGCGGCCGGCACACTGGCGGAATTAGGGGAACTTTCGGATCGGCGCAGTATGCAGTTACCCCTGACTGCCCCCAGCCCTGATGATTCGGGAGGGTTGGGCGCCCGAGTTATCTGGGATAACTGCGGTCCGCGGTAACTCCGGTTTGGGCCCCCGAGACGCGAATCAGCAGTTATCCCTGACCGCTCCCAGCCCTGACCATTCGGGGTTCTGACTGAGTGCGGTCGCTGATGGTGATGGTGATGACGACGACGACGACGACGACGATGATGATGATGATGGTGATGATAATGATAATGGTGACGGTGATGTTGTTGATGATGATGATGATGATGGTGATGATGATGATGCTGCTGATGTTGTTGTTGTTGATTATGATGACGATGATGGTGATGGCGATGATGATGATGGTGCCGATGATGGTGATGGTGATGATGATGTTGATGATGCCGTTGCTGACGATGCTGATGATGATGTTGTTTATGATGATGATGCTGATGATGATGGTGATGATGCTGAAGATGAGGAT